AATCCATATAATTAGGTTATTAAATGTGAGTGCATTTTTTTTAAATAGGTAGAGATTAGGTTTCAAATGGTGACTAAAATCATATAACTCTATTATCAAATTAAATGAGTGATGTTGTGCACATGTTTGTCTTGCAAATATGCTTAAAATCAATAGTTCAGTCTTTATTTAATAAATTGTACTGAAAACTGAATTTGTGAATTTCAAATAATAATTATAATATTAAAAACTAAAAGATAATAATCCAAATCCTATTGACGGTGAAGCTATTTTTTTTTTTTATTTACAACTTGTTTATTCCTACCGACCGCGCGCAATTAGGTGGCATCTCTCTTTTTATTTGGTTTTAATTACTGTGAAACCTTTTTTAAATTCTGTTTGATTATCATTTAAAAAACTGTTAATTGTTGATAACTGTTAATAACTTAAATAATTCAGCGATGATTTTTTTTTTTATTAAAAGTAAACAATTTTAAATTTAAATCACATAATATCAAGTGAGATAAAATAAGAAATAAAAAATAATTAATTTTTACTATATAACCAATATTAAAAAAAAAAACTGTTGATAATTGAAAAACCTTTAGAAATTAAACTATCAAATTTAAAAGCAATGCAACAGAATAACCATTCTAGAAGCAACAACTTAGGAGCTTCAAGTTCTAACTCCTTAGAAACGGCTTTTAGGAAAATCAAAAATCTATTGAGAGTACTTTGTTTGACCCAATTTCGTCTTTCCCAATAAAAGAGATTTTTTCACAAAAAGATTTTCCTTTTTACATCAAATAATAGGAATATGTGATAAAGAATATCTTATTGATTCATAAATCCCTCTTTATTTATTTTAATATTTGAATTAAAAATTTTTAATATAAAAATTTAAATTCTTAATAACTTATATATTCCATCGGAGATAAAAAAAAAAAAAAAAGATTTGTTAAGGTGAAAAGCAACTTTGCCTAAGAATCAAGTTAATAATATATACATCCCTTACAGAGATAGGTGCATTCATCACTTTGTTACTACTCCCATTCATTTTCATTCTTATAAAGAACCAAGTTTCTTACAAAGTTATAGGCCGAAACAATAAAATTTCTAACAAAGAGATCAAGATCCAATTCAACTAATTTTCACAACTGAGGACAATTAATTCAATGAGTTAGAATCTTACACATAACTCTTATATATTATTTATATAAAATTTTAATAATTTAATTATTTATTATAAAATATTTAAGATTTATCATAATTTTAAAATAAAAAACAATTATAAATAAAGATAAAAACTAAAAGTATATAAATCACAACCATTTATACTTAAAAGATAAATTACCAAATTATATATAAGTAAATAATTTTTTATTAACTTAAAAGTACAGATTAAAAATATAATATAAATTTTTTTAGTTATAAATTTATGTTAAAATTAAAAATTAATTTTTAATTTATTAATAATTCAACTAAATTCATCTATATAATATCAATACTAAATTTAATATCAAAATTTTTAATTTTTATAACAATTTATAATAAAAAAAATATGTTTTTTACGAGGACATTCTTATTCTTAATATGTGCCATAGAAGTCGTTAAGTAATGTTTTAAGTTGACCCATAAAGCTTGCGAGTTTAAGTGAAAATGAATAAAAAATTGAAAATGACAAAAAAGTAGAGGTGAAAAGTGAAAACTGTACGACGCCGCGTTTTCCACGTCCATTTCAACAATAACTTCCTTTTTCTGTCTTCCCATGCGCTTCGCTCGGATCTCGTCTTCTTCTACCTCCTTTCCTCCCTTTACCTTTCCTTTTTCTCTTTCATCTCTCTCCGGCTCCATATTGAGAGCCTGAGCTCCGTCTCTTCCGTTCTCTGCTCTAGCTCCGTTCGAGCCTCAACAACCCACATTTTCCCTTTCCTTATGTGAATCACCTTCTGTTCAATTGGAGACACGTAGACAGCGATGGAGCATATTGCGGCGCAGCTTAAACGGGGCATCTCCAGGCAGTTCTCCACTGGCTCCATCAAGCGGACCTTAAGTCGCCAGTTCACGCGGCAGTCGTCGATGGACCCACGGAGGAATAACCTCCGGTTCGGCTTCGGGAGGCAGTCCTCCATGGACCCCATTAGAAGGAGTCCTGTACGTGATGAACTGTCGGTGCCGGAGAACCTTGATTCTACCATGCAGCTGTTGTTCATGGCGTGCAGAGGGGACGTGAAGGGAGTGGAGGACTTGCTTAATGAAGGGATCGATGTCAATAGTATTGATTTGGACGGACGCACTGCGCTGCATATTGCTGCTTGCGAGGGCCATGTGGAGGTCGCCAAGCTTTTGCTCAGCAGGAAGGCCAATATTGATGCTCGTGATCGTTGGGGGAGTACGGTACATTTCTTCTCTTCTCCCTTTACTTACAATTTCCAATCCCTGAGGAAACCCTTGAAAGGATTTTACCAGTCAAACTAATTTAAACATTCAATTTGATTATGAATTCAATTTTTGGGTTGATTTTGTTGAATGGGATCCTTTAAAAATTGGAAATTTAAGGTGGGTAACAATTTTCCTTTTTAATTTTCTTTGAAATATTTATTTGGTGTTCAGTTGGTGATTTTTGCGGGCTACTTTTATTCTGAACTCAGTTTAACTCTTTTTTTTTCTTTTCTTTTTTTAATTTTTTATTTGCTTGGGGACAGGCAGCTGCTGATGCTAAGTATTACGGAAATATAGATGTTTACAATATTTTGAAGGCCCGTGGAGCCAAAGTTTCGGTACAATATCAGACTTTCTTTTTCTTCTGTTCCCTGTGTAGAATGTTTCTGTTTGTGTTTCATAGTTTTGGGCCTTTTGGCTTGTGTGAAGATTGATACTTACGTATGCTCTGTAACATTAGAAGACCAGGAAGACACCAATGGCAGTTTCTAATCCTCGAGAAGTTCCAGAGTATGAGCTTAACCCACTAGACCTTCAAGTTCGAAAGGCTGATGGTATTGTCAAGGTGTGGTTCTGGTCCCTTCGCTTTCAGTTGATTAATAATGTTCGAAAACTAATAGATGGTCCCATATTAAAAATTTTTGAGTTGCTGATGGTAATTTTTATCTATATAGTGATTAATCATGGCTTCTTATTTTATATCTGATTCTCCTGCAGATAGTTGGTTGCCTTTTAAGGAGCATGTTGCTTCCTGGGGGCTCTTGTTATGATGGTCCATTATTGTCATCAAAGCATTCGAGTGTTGAAATATATTTTTCATGTTGCTTCATTTGCTTTTGGGAAAAATATGCTTGCTTACAGTAGTTGTAGACAAACCTTCTGGTGTTAAATCACAGGACCTCTTGATGAATGAATGTTTTTATTGTTGCATGCTTCACAGAGTAGAGCTTTTATTTTTTTATAAGGCTTCTATAAATGGATTGTTGCCTGAGCTCTGACTTTGGGTGTTAATGCGGAAGACATTATGTTAAATATATAGGCACCATGCATGTTTGACTGAGCAGAGTTACATGATTCTTCCCACTTTTTTATGCATCTGTTGTTACCAGGGTACATATCAAGTGGCGAAATGGAATGGCACAAAGGTTGCTGTAAAGATTCTTGATAAGGACAGCTGTTCAGACCCTGAGAACATGTAAGCACCCACTTTACTCCCTTTGTTCATTATCTCCTGTTTTCAAGACATGTGGTCCTGATAACAATTGGATATCCAAAGTACATGCGTTTAATGAAAAAGTTAAGAATGCCTTGCAATGTGTACAGTTTTGGCATATCCTCATGTAGAATGAAGAGAGAGTATTTTTCTCATTTTCTTCTGGTTTGCATCTTTGAGTTATTGTCTATGAATTTCAAAATGGATATTGTGAGAAAAAAACAGAAATAATGAATTATCTAGTCTTAAAATCATTCAACCGCTGATTTAGGGGGACTTTAACTTGTCTGCTGTACTGGAGTCTGGTTTGCTACATGGTACATACATGAAATTGTTGATTATTATCATTATTTTCTTCTGGGCAGAGATTTGTTATTCATATTTCGAACACTTATAAGATATTCCATGGATGATAGTCTACAAAGTGCGGACAGTTATCAATTTTTATTTTGAGGCTGGTTGTCTTAGTAGATAATTTTGTTGTCCCAAACCTTTACAGTATTTAACCATGTCATAAAAATAACAGGAGGTTGAGGTTGGCAGAGTTTAGCAATATTAATTGGCTTGAATGTACTTTTTTCTTACATTTTTAAGCTTTATTTATTTATTTATTTTTTGATGAGAACATTTTGGACCTTGGTTGTTTGTAAAGTAATTGTGGAATTTATTTATCTATCAACAAAGCATCTGAGCTCTAAGACAGCACCATAAATTTATTTGTTTTCCCTTCACACAGAAACGCATTCAAGTATGAGCTAACTTTGCTAGAAAAAGTCAGACACCCAAATGTGGTTCAATTTGTTGGAGCTGTTACACAAAATATCCCAATGATGATAGTTTTGGAGTACCCTCTAAAAGTAAGCTTGCTTCTCTTTTCCTCTCTCTTGCTCCTGCCTCTTGGTCTGTTTGTTTCTCTCGTACCACTGTATGTCTGACTGTTTATCCAGAAATGGGTGGATATGGTTTTGTATTTTATCTGATAGAACATGAGCATGGTTACTTCTAGTGAGCGTGATGTGAACAATGAAAATCTAGATGATTAGAAAATAAAGATTCCTTAACATAATTCATTATTTAGGTGTATGTTTTTCAGAGATGGTATATTTGTGCATTTCTCTTCTTAATATAATTTATTATTTATGCGTATGTAGTGAGGATGGCTCTACCAGGCAGACTTGCATTGACTTTATTATTTCTTTATTTTATTGTTTTAATCATACTTTTAATGGCACCATGTTGATGGTAATATTTAAGGGTGACTTGGGAAGCTATCTTCAGAAGAAAGGGCGTTTATCTCCATCCAAAGCTTTAAGATTCGCTCTTGACATTGCTCGGTATGTGCACTTTTCTTTGAAGTATATTCCATTTGTTTCTGTTCTTGCTTTAATCTTAAGTTCATCATTTTTTTTTTAATAAAAACCTAAAAATGAATAATTTACCATATCTGCTGCTAATTCTGCTAGTCTAGTTTTATTGTAACCCGATCTGCAGTAGGTGCTTTTAGTCTGATTGAACACTCTGATGTAATCTATTTTTTCTTTGCAGGGGAATGAACTATCTTCATGAATGCAAACCAGATCCAATCATTCACTGTGACTTAAAGCCAAAGTAAGGCAATAAGGCAGAATTTGGTACAATGCACATAGAAATTGCAAATTCAGCTTTCACATTTTCTCATTGTGAAGTACTGTTCTTTAATATTTGAAATTTTG